AAGGCTACACCATCATTCTCAATACAATATTTTTCGTAAGTCCGAGTTAATATATCCTCATCACTACAACCACTTCGATAAACACTGTATATACTGTTATAACACTCATTGAATCGATACCCTTTATTTCAATCGTATTATGCCAGTGAGATCTTATTAAATTAGCATTTTTGTGAATATAATCAGAAGGTGTATATTCGTTATAATAATTTGTAACACGTACCCAAAATGCTTCGGCCTTCTGATCATTACCGGTAATTGGATCGTCACTTATTGTCACATAAGCTTTTGCCAATTGCACATCCTCTTCCTTTGTCCATTGTGGACGTTTTTTTCGGCCTTCTGCATCAACACATGTGTTTTTTGGTATTTCAACATTAATAGTTGCTTCACGATTCTGGAATTGTGTTTCTGGAATTTAAGTTTGAGTCTCAGGTTCTTTCCTCATTTGGGATCTGAAAGATTAACTCGATTGTTGTGGAGAAGACTGCACCAGATTTTGACTACTCGTGTATTGCCAATATTCAGGCAGCGGGTTTTGAAATAAAACTTGTGGAGGATAATGTGAATATTGAATGTTGATAGAATTTGGATAATTTTTGGGTTGTTGCATAAAAGGAAAATTTGACAAGAATTGTGGGAAAAATTGTGCAGGATAAGGAGTTTGTGAAAATTGTAAATTCGGCTGGGTTTGTGAATTTTGGAAGAATGAAATTTTATCTGGATTGCTAGGATTAGAACTTGAGAAATTATAATTTTTTTTCTATTATTCGGATCCTTTTTTTTTAAGCAAATGAGTGGTTGCTAAATTTTTTGGTGCAAGATAAGTTGTAATTTTTTTGGTGCAAAATAAGTAGCAAACTGAGGTGTATTTTTAGGCAAAGAATTGAGATAGAAAATATAAGTTACTGATATATATTGGAAAGTGTGATATAAATAAAATTTGTATTTATTATATTGAGAAGTGTGATTAGATAAAATTGAATTAAATATATATAAGAAAATAGTTAAAATTAAATGAAAACAAAAGAAAAAGCAATCAAATTGTATTTAAATTAAATGATAAAAAAGTAAAAAAAGGGCCACTAGAGGCGTTGAAAAC